ATTTTGATTCACCATCTGATTGAAATCAAGTAACGCTTTGATGAGCTTTAATCTCTTGTCTTATGAGTGCATTATGATTACTGCTTGCGTTACGGTATTTTTGGGATTTCTACGAAAACTTCCGCTGGTCAACTCCGCTGCTTCTGTTCGCCATCCAAAATCCGTCTTATTCCATTTTACTTCTACGAAGATTCTTTTTTTTGTAGTGAATGTACTTTTATTTACTCAGTATTATCCTCATTATCAAATGAATTTTTTAATTCCGATGACCTTATTTCTTATTTTCATTATTCCTGTGCTTTGAAGGTTTTGAACACTCAAGTAATCTTTGTACATAACAATCATGTGAAAAACTTCGGTCACTGCATAGACGAACGCCTTTAGCTCCTTGAAGAATCGAAAGTAGGATGACATTCAAACGAGTAGTCCGTCGTCCCATCCAGCACGGGGAACACCACTGAAATCTTCTCATCGTATTTTTCACTTAACGAAAACATAACAGTGCGTTCCCCGTTAATCAGAGTTTAGCACGTCTTTTGTTTTAACTCCAATTTCTTTTTTCTTACTTTAGCAATATAAGCCACTTCCTAATGATAACATGACAATACTGGATGCAATTCGTATGTAAATTCATGCTAGCTTTTGACCCTTTCCTTCAAGAGTTATATTTCGGATCGGAAGTGCTTAGAAACCTATGAAACCATTGAATTATGTGTCTTATGGAACACCAAAGAGAGTGCAGAGTTTCTCACACGGCGCATCAATGCTATGAAGTACGACTTTTAATGATTTGTTCTGCTTTGATCAATAAGCCATTGTTGCTAAGATTGTTTTATTATAATAAAACTGTAATCTACTTTGTATTGTGCTCCTAATTTTTATTGCTTGCTTGTCTATTTGATATGTATTCAATATGTTGTGTGAATCCTAGCAGTTCTCTCACTTGGTTCGTCCGTCATTCAAGAAAGTATTGAAATTTGCGTGCTGTTTTGGCCGGTACACGATGACTTTCTCTCTCCCAAAAATCGTTGATTGGTAATCGAGTTCGTTCTCCCTGGAATCCTGAACAGCTCTACTAGAAGCTCTACCAGAGCCGCGTAAGTCGTCATCACAGACATTCACTGGAGTGTGTGGGCATGAGAAAGCTTTTCATAGAGAACTCAGGGGTCAACTTATGAAACTCGAATGGATTGAGCGCCTAATTTGGACCAGAGGGGTTTAATCCAGTTATTATATCTCTAACGTGCTTGCAGAAAACTTGGTAATAGTAAGTTAGTGTAATAAAATGTTTATGAAGAAAAATTTCATTGTATTACCTTGCCTGGGAAATAACTGCCATATTAGGTTGCGTCCAACTGTCAATGGCTCAAACTCAACATAAATTCGCAAATGAAATCTGGTAGAAATATACAAGTGCAAGATTACGGTGACTATTCTCAGTCCTATAGATATTCGTTATTTTTATCCATATCTATAATATCATCACGTGTTTGGTGCAGTGGAGGCGCCACTGCGACACACACGTTGAATCGACTCCCACGCCCATGGCCCACCAAGCCTTCCAACCCTCCAGGGTCGGCAAATTGGTACCAGACTTGTCTGGGAAGATAGCAGCACTGGCCCGATACATCGGTAGGCCACCTCGAGTCATTATAAAGGCCAGATATGCATTCAGTCACCTCCAATGATAATTAATGAAGTTGGATGCATGGTGCATCCCTCAGGAATTCATCAACGCCGAGAGCTTCATCATTTATCCTTTATCTACAGTATCTTCACTATGTGTTATAATTAACCAACATAGTTGATTCGTCTTGTAGTCAACAAGCAGTTGGCTCACGTTTTTGTGCCGCCGTTGGCTGACATGTGCTCTGGAATGTCCGTAAGAACTGTTCTTCTTCATTGGACAGATCGCGCAGCTGTTTGACCATCAAAATAGCCCTCTGCTACGCCCCATGACGCCGACATTCGCGTTTCGACGACTCGTCAAGATCGCTAGCAGCCTTCTAGATTATTTTGGTTTTGTTATTCTACAAATGTACTTGTGTTATGTATAATTTATTTTGAAACATTTTCATTGCAACTATCTTCATTACCACAATCGTCAATCATCGTCGCTTCTTCACTCGTCTTCTATCAGTAATCTAAGCAATTCTACTTCATGACGCCCAAATGAACCAATCTTATTCACACGCCCACTTATTGTAGCCCTCATCATACTAGTTAGACATGTGGCTTTTTAAGTGAATCGCAAGTGGTTTGTACCGTCACAAGCTCACATGTCCACCTCTTTCTTCTACCTGCAAAGTCGCTCTCTCATCTTTGACTAGCCTCATTATGCGTAATCTTGCCCTCAAATATAAGGGTACTGCAGCACATTTTGTGTTGTTATGACTACATCTTCTTAATTAAGCCACACCTGTCTACATATTACGCAACTGTATGCAATTTATACATTCAATTCTCAGCTTCATTTGTGATTGTTGCCTTATCGCATTGTTTATAGAGGTTTGATTACCTAAATTTGAGGTTCACTGCGTCACACACCATTACAAGAGTAAAAGCTCCGCGTGGCGAACAAAAGAAGTCGAGCATTTCATCCGCAGTTGCCGGACGGAGGAGAAATCCGATCTACTGCTACTCTATATTCCACTGGCCAGCCGATGCAAAGATTTAAAATACTATAAATATAGTATCTTGCACCTCTCCTGTCATGTTTTCAGTGGTCGTTTTTTTGTTTTTTTTTCACACGACGTATTCTTAGAGATATTCATTCTTTTCAGTTGCGGATTTCTAGCAGTATGGTTTCTACATGTCAGTGGCTTACTACACCATCTTTTCAAAGAACAGAAGAAGCAGGAAGCGTTTTTGGGTGTTGCACAACAGTGTGTGATTTTATAACCTAGAAAAGTCTCCCATGATAAAAAGTACTTCACCAAAGTGAACCCTATTAAAAGTAAGCCAATGCCGAGTCACACCCCAGAGGCCTGCACACGGCTACGTTTCCTTTCCAAAAATTTGAAAGGGGTTTCATACCAGAAGTGTAACATTCTCCGTGTCCCTCCATCAAATACGGCGCAATGGACAGCTCAGATGCACGATGAAGAGAAATGGTGGTCAATGACGTCCACTCGAGTTACTCAGTGGTTATAACTAGATCATAGGCGACGCTGGTAGTCCCTTAGACGCTAGTTACATTGGTTACACCGTGTATTCGGTAGATACGAAAATTCAGTTTTCTCGGTGTTGTATTGTTTAACTCGTTAGCTAAGTTAGGGTCAAATGCTGCGATGGTCGCAACAGCAGTAGTTGCAACACTGCTTTCATGGAATTCATGAAATTTGTGAAATAGAATCAGAGTTCAATCCTAAACGAATAATGTTTGAAAGTTCACAACATGACGGAAAACCAATAGCAGTAAGTAAGCTACGAGGAAAAGCAGGCAAAACGCTAAAAGATAAAAGTCTTCTTCTTTTTCTGACGATGGACCGAGTTTTTACATTTAAAAACCTGATACATTTACAAAATCTAACGGCACCGTTGCAACGAAGCTCACCGAAGTAGCGGATCGGTGTTTGCATAAAACGGAAATACGAGCTTGATCTGCTTCCGATTGAAGCAAGACCAAATCCACGAATTTGTGCAACTGGTTCAGATTTCTAAAAAGAAATAATGCATGTGGCGAATGTAGCATCTGAAGCAAATGACATGATGGCAAAAAAAGTCGGATGAGATAGATGCTTGCCTCTAATTTCATCAGAAAGTTTATCAAGAATTGCTTAGCTGGACATCTGTGTGTATTCGTCGACGATTCTCGAAATCTTATTTAAACGATTAATTAACGATTAGGAAGGAGCGTGTGAAGCACAATGCTCGGAGGCGCCCAACAATACGCATGGGATCGATCCCGCGTTCGTGATTCACAAAAACTTCCATCCCAGTGAGGTCGGAAAATTTACACCACATTTATCTAGAAGAATACCAGCAATGGTTCGACACATCGGTAGGCCACTGCGAGTCATTCTAAAGGCCAGATATGCATTCAAACATCTCCAAACGACGCTTAATGAAATCGAATGCATAGCGAATCCGTAAGGGATTGGTCAACGCTGAGAACTTTTTTATCTTTTATTTGAGTTATCAATGATTCATAGAGGAGATTTTGATAAAGAGTCATTGTAAAGGCCAGATATGCATTCAATCACCTCTAACGATAATAAGCGAAGTCGAATGCATGGCGCATCCCTCAGAGGTTGATCAACGCCGAGAGTTTAACCAGAAGGAAGAAAAAAGTTACACGAAGATGTATCGTGACACATGATAGATAACTGATAAAAGGAGAAAGCGTTCGGCTTTGATCAGTCTTTGAAGGATGCGTCATGAATTAGGCTCCACTCGTAGCGTCGCAGAGATGAGTCAACGAAAATATGCCAAATCATTTATATGGGCCTAGTGATGTGTTAAGTCAGTGTTTTTGCTACCCTAGACAGATCTGGTACCCATAACTTGTCGTTCCTAACGATGAGAGCCTTGTTAGAACAAGGGAGAGAAGTATTGAATCAAGAGCCATTACATACTCCTTTGTCTGGTGCATAAACAAGAGCCACTTTTATGAAAGCTAGTTTCAAAAAGGAAGCTATTCTTTCAGATGGTAGTACAATCAGCTCGGGCGCAGCGTTTACCATATCTTTTCTTTTCAACAACTTATCGACTTTAGAAAGCAATTAAAAGTGCCAAAGTAACAAAGGCTTATTAATTCTTAAGCGTTTGCAGATAAAAATGGACAAAGGACACATACATTATCACCGTTATGGTGATAAAAGAAGTCTGCCATATTTAGGTCACAACGATTCCATTGAGAAGAAGACGTCTTACCATGAATTCCCGTTATTGCTAGCTGTTGCAATTCTTTCTTAATTACTAACCATATGCACAGCCGAAGTGGTCATAAGTAGTTTGACTTTAGAAACGTGCACTGTGAAATCGATGATGCCTTTTGCTCAGTGTAGTTCGATAAGCGTTGAATGGTTTCCTTCAGAACGTACAAAAGCAAACATACTGATAACAGCGGGCCAGAGGGCATCGATGACGGAAGTGATGCAGAGCGGCGCCCAAAGAATAAAATTGGAGGCGACGATGGTCAAAGTGAGCTTCACAGTCTGTACTCGTCTACGATCTAGCTCCATGCACTGTAGTGCCCCACCTGCAAGCTGAAGACTTCACATCATGCTCTGTTTGATATCATTTTTTGTGCTAGCGCTGTTGATTACTACTTTAATGAAATATAAAATAACCTTTCGAAACCGACCTTCGCTAAACCTCGGTGTGACTAATCAATATATATTCTTTCTTGATAAGCTTGCACGAGGTTGATAAATATATTTATTTTCGGCTAACGTTTCGACGCCTTCGTCTTCCTCAGAGCCGATGATAACAACTTATATTTCTTCCGGACATACATCATTGCGCACATCGTGCAGAGTTCGGTGTATTACCAGCTAGCACAAAGCGTAGTAATATTTTACCACCACCGGACATTGTCATTATATATCCACCATCAGCATCGTGTATAAAAGGGCATCACTGAGTGAGGATGCCTCATTCGAGAAGATGGCTCACTGAGGAAGATCTGGCTCGACACGAAGGCGAAAACGCAACGTCGAGACGAACAACAAGCGAGGACCATCGACTCGGATCATCGGCTCTGAGGAAGACGAAGGCGTCGAAACGTTAGCCGAAAATAAATATATTTATCAACCTCGTGCAAGCTTATCAAGAAAGAATACATATAAAATAACCTATTTACTTTTTTAAACGCATCACGACTCCCAAGAAGACCAACTAAGAGCAAACGATTACATAGATCCACCATCATCCTAGTATCAAATTGTGATGGTGGCATGGTGGCAAATCTCCCTCTGATCCACAGGGGCGATGACCGCTTGTGATTGTAATGACCTGGCGTAAGCTTTGGCTAGGCTGACCTCGGAACTCCAGGAATCCATAATGGCTAAACAAGCAAAACTCCGAAAAAGCGGAAATTATGCTGGGGCCCGCACAACCAGTGAAAACGGGCCATCCAAGTATCCAAGTACCCAAAAATAGCTATCACGTTGTAGGCCATTTTGTCGGAGGAACTATTTACTTGATTAGATAGCCCATCTCCAAAAACTGCACATTCCACTACATCCTTTGTCAACTTGTAATCCCTAACTGTTGCCGATATTATAAGCTTTCAAGTCTTCACTTCAAAGATCCTCGAAAGCTGTTTCCGTTACATCTCCCCAAGCAATCATTGGTCCGACCTTGGCCGAGAGAGATTTACCAGTTTTCGACTAGGTATCCTCCAAAACAACGGCATCTCGTGAAACTATTGCGTGACTCATTTACTCTCAGTCACGCTTGACCGTTTACTTACGGCCACCGAGGGACGACCTTCTCATGTGCACCGTCTCTCGGTAGTAACAAATGTCGCCATGCTATTTTGAGATTTATTAGTATAAGTTGCTACTATGTGCTATCATAGATAGTATTCTATTACATAAGTATTTTCATTATGGTCAACACTTTCGAAATTAACAAATTTGCAAACAAAAAACATTCGATTTATTTTACTGCCTTGTTTCTCCAAAGCGACCGTTATCAAAGTTAATATTCTTATTATGAAACAGTTCCTCTCAGCGGTTTGCCGTCTCGCCGTGGTTGGTAGGTGTTCCTGGGCGTCAGACTGCGATGTACACTGGAGGGATTCGTACCCCTGGCAGGGTCTTCCAAACTGAGAAAGAGTTCGACGTCTCTATCAGGAAGTTTAGCTAAGAGTAAGCGAATACCAGAATTCACCACTGTTCTGGTATGAAACTAGTTCCATGGTGGCAAATCTCTCTCTGTTCCACAAGGACGGCGACTACCTGTAGTGGTGAACCTAGGGAGACTTTGTCCAGGTTGACCTCAAGATTTCAGGGAACCAAAATGGCTTAACCAGCAAATTTCCGAAAAATTGTGATCATGCTGGGACGCGCACAACCACTGAAGACGGGTCGTTCAAGTATCAAGTAAATAAGTAAGTGTTATAAAACAGTTATCATTAGCCAGGGCGCGGTAAGCGAATCCTTAGCGATGTTTATCATCGCAAATACGATACTAGGCAGAGTTGTTTAGGGAAAGCTCACTTCCTGCAATGAAAGTGAGAACACACTAGCTCGATTATCTGAGGACTTCAGAGAGAATCCACTCGGCCACCATTCAAAGTTATTTAAAACGGTAGGAAAATCCTCAAGCAGAAACCGAACTCGAACGCAAAAAGTTGGAAAGCCTTCGTAGATGATGGATGAGAAGAAACTAATGAAATAAAAGTGCTTGGATCCGCACAGTAGATGTGAAAGACTTGTGTGAAATAATGGTAATGATAAACAATATCACTAGGTAAAACAATGCAGTAATTCTCGAGGTACACTGGGTTTAGAGGAATCTCTCTATTGCTCAGTGCTCTGTATATACACCTCTAAAGCAACGTAAACCAGTGGAGCCATACAATAATTTTGAAGAGATGGAATTAACAAATAGTGCGTGGCAACTATGTCATCGGCAATCCATCACCAAACACGTAATATTATGCCTTATATCAGTTCTTCCTTCCTGAAATGAAAATACAACAACACAACCATAACGGTGGTGAGACATGAGCAAAACTAAAAAGCCTAGGTGAGCGTCAAACCTGCGATTAGTCTTTCCGGTAGCTCACGTGCAATCTATTGCACCAAGCAGCCCCTTTCTTTACACTCTCCTCGGCCTGCTTTTTACCCTAACGGTGATATCAACAGTTCCCAAGATCGAGTTTCTATTAACCCCGGCATTGGATTACAAATGTATCGTTCTCTTTTCAGCAAGCGCGAGGTTGTTATTCATCACACGTTTACTTCCATATACAGAGAACACTTACAACACGACGGTATCTGACGTTTCGGCAATTTTGCCTTCTTCAAAGCCTGGAAGGGTACACTGATACGTAGTTTACTAGGATAAACGCTTCAACAGCACAACCAAAAAGCTGAAAACCTGAAGGATAATTACACGATCACAGGATTCTCAAAAAACCTACCTCTTTTTTTTTACCTGCTTTCCACCGAGGAAAAACAGCCGCTTAGAGTTGCACATGGTTGATCACTGCACCACCCCACATCAAAAATCAATTCTGGGATAACGGGTTAGATCACTTGTTATCTCTGGGCATTCTTTCCTGCTATTCATTCTCGGATCTTTGGAATTTATCCAAAAGCCTCGAGAAATTTGCGCGTTGTGTTTTAGTATCCCGTGCGATGATATCGACTTTTACGTCAAAATCTTCTCCATTATGCTTTTGTATTCTATGCATTCCTAATGGCGTACCTTGTCTTACTTTTTGTTTACCATCTAGGTGTCCTTTTATGCGGTTACATAAAGGTCTACTCGTTTCGCCAAAATATTCATCTCCGCAAGTACAGGAGATTAGGTACACCGTACCTGAACTCATGCAGTCACCGTCCATGCCGTAAGGGCAAATGACGCAATTTTCTGTTTCACAAAGACGGTCATATAGGCGGTTACGAACGAATTGACGACTAAGAGTATTCGCTGGTATTTCAGTTAACCCAACCGATTCCTCTAGATCTGCCCTTATTAAGCATCTCTTCATCGCTACACTTATTTCATCGCTAATGAAAGGTAAGATAAACTGGATTTTGTTTCAGCCAAACCGTTCGTTTTTGGGCGTCGCTCTTCTTTTAAACTTATCTCATGGGGTTGCCATTTCATAGCTATTAGAGATGGCTATTTGTCGAGCCAAGTCGCGCGATTCATCCTTTAGTTCCCTACTTGTGCTCCCAGTGTTGGCTGTTCGAAATATTGCTAACATTCACGCACCAATGGGAACGATCTGAGGAGTATAAATCCGCATTGAATTCAGTTAAGTTGAAGTTGCATTTGAAAACAATAGTGGGCAGCAAATAAAAGTTAGAACATCATGACAAGATAATTTTTCCGATATTATTCATACCATTTGAATAAAAATGATTATGAATTAATCGATATGAAAACAATAAGAGAACTTTTTGTTGGACCTATCGTTCTTATCGTATTCCGTTTTACCAATTACTCTACAGCTTAATGTCTCACTGTGGCCGATGGGTGCTCATAGCTGTCGAGTTGTGATCTGCAATCGGAACTGATTTCCCAGTTCGCCCAAACTAAGAAACGTTTCCCGTCTAGAATCATAACCAAGAGCAAACATATGGCATGGTGCGGGCTAAGTTTGAATTTTTCCTCACTAATAAAAGTAGTGGCGTAATGTTTACCAATACCGTGATCATGTTCACCTCCCACAAGTGTGGCCCAGTGGGTCAGCTTGGAGAACGACGGAAGTCATTGGAGGGTTTGGTGGTGTTTCCTTTACTTCATAGGCTAACATATGACAGGCTTACTTTATCACCCGTATCATTACTATTATTTCTACTGTTGTAAAAGCAATCATAGAAATGGGGAAGGACACAGTAGTTTACATTTTATCGCTTCAAACACACCTCCGTGATGCATTGGTATATAAGCGGCAACAGTTATATTATTCGCAGGATTTCTTAAAGAATTTCTTCACATTTAAAACAAAACGGTCATTTCCTTGGTTATCGTCATATCATCGCAATTGTTTTATCCGAGCACACTTGAACGAAACTCAGAACCTTAGTTGGGGTTCGAACACGCGAATACCCTTATCGTGAGATCACGTACTATATACTGCACCAACCGAGGCCCTTACTGTGCCATTCTCTCAGTCATATTATTACACCAGGTCATTCTTGTTTGCTAGTAGCATCGATAGAGTACAATTATAGCTGAGAGGAAGGTAAATCAGTGGCCTCTGTTGATGTGATGGATAGCATGTGAGCACCTTACAAGGGTAGCGGCGGGCTTAAAGCGCATCTGAGGTTCTGAGTTTTGTTCATATCTCAGCATCCTTGTGGTTGTATTTCACATAGTATTCAACCATGAAAAACGAGGCTTAAATAAAAGTTAGGGCAATGGTTGAACGATTATCAATTGTCGAACTATAGCAAATTTACCTCTGTGGTGAATCTCGATGCCTCTCTAGAAGGATGAGAACGATCATGAAGGGCGCTCGTTTTGGAAAACAAAAGCGTCACTGAAGACCGACAACCTCAACACCTACCTGGATTTATGCGACATTTAAAATGTTAAACATTATGTCGACCTTGATGTTCGGCGAAACACTTTTTCACTTTGTTCTTTATGTAAACTAATCGATAACGTAGTTATTAATGAGCGCCAGCATTTTCTGGAAGGATTCTAATGGAGAGCGTAGAAAGTGGGAATATGTTGATCTTTAGTGCTTGTGGTGACTGTTATATTCGCTACTGCTCGGATACTACGAGCGATCTGCTATCGAGAACTATGTCCTATGCTCAATGCTGATGTCATTCACAAACAGATCATGAGCATACCGATCATTAGAGGATAACGAAGAGTCTGGTTGAATTTGGAAAATCACACCGCGCAAACTATAAACTATCTTTAGGACAATGAAGGATAAAGGACACTCCTTTAAGTATTGTAGAGGCAATTGAGTACATTATCTCCTATACAGTGACTAATGTATCATCACGATCATCATGAGTACGGTGCTGGTTCGATACATCCTCAGGCTCACCAAGTCTCTCATCCCTTCGAGAAACTGGTGCCGGACGTGTCCGAAAAAAATCATTCTATATAGTACAATTGGGAACCCTCCAGCCCGGTTGTGTCAGGACTCCAGGAAGAATTGACTTGGCCAGCATTCTACGACACTCAAGATGAAATGAAAATCCTCAAGCAGCAGCCGATGCCACACGTAAAGGTTGGAGGACCTTCATGGATGATGAATGTAAGGAAACAAATCGAATGTTAGAAGTGCTAGGATCCGCACAGCAGACGTGAAGACGAGTCCTATAAGAATAAGAAAAAATATAATGACTAACAGAGGCCTTTTGGTGTATCACATTAGTGCTTTAATCCACCAAGTCAAGTCTATTATCAATTATCAGACTCTAGAGGATGGATCACGTGGTTACAAAGATCCCAGCATTAAGCAAGCGGCCGTATGCTTTGCAGAGCACCATCTACTGTACCACGCGCGCGCCTAGTATTGGACAACATATAAAGGATAAAATAAAGCTCTCGGAGTTGATCAATTCCTGAGGGAGTGCGCCACGAATTCAACTTCTCACTAAGCACCGTTTAGAGGTGATTAAGTGCATATCTAGCTATCTAGCTATATCTATCTAGCTATGTTGCCTTTTTTTTTTATTTACTGCCTTTTACTAGCTTTCACGGCAGGGTATTCTTTGTGAAACAACCACAATGACGCTGAGACATTTGCACAACTCCGCACCGCAGGTGTCTACGGTGGGGAGCGAACGCGCTATTGTCCTTTCCGGGGAGTAATGCGCTCATCAGCGCGCCATTCGCTTGCCTGTCTCTCAGCGATCGATAGAACTAGCTAGTAAAAGGCAGTAAATAAAAAAAACTCAGCATTGTGAATTTCAACTATAGCAGTTTAACTGGGTTCAATGCCGATTTTGGCTCTCCAGATCAATCCCGTTGACGAGTGTTTGCTGATGGCAGTAATCGATAGAACTAGCTGAGAGACAGGCGAAACGAAAGACCCACATGGTGTGATGGTGAGCGCGTTACTTCCCGGGAAGGACAATAGCACGTTCGTTCTCCACCGTAGACACCTGCGGTCCGGAGTTTTGCAAATATCTCAGCAAAATTATGCCTGCATATCTAGCCTTTACTCGCGGAGGTCTGCCGATGTACCAAGCTACTGCTGTTATCCTCCAAGATAAGCCTGGTTTCAATTTGCTGACCCCGGCGGGATGGAAGGCTTGGTGGGCTGTGAGCACGTGCATCGATCCCACGTGTGTGTTGCAGGGCGTCTCCGACAACTGCGCCACGCGCCCTTGGACAATATGTACAGAGAAAAAATTGGTTTAATTGGATATCGCATACTTTTAGTGACACCATTAAGTTGTGTTTTGCGGTATTTAAGCAACTCCCTTCTTAAGATTTTGAAATGAGGACTGAAGCGCCCTCCATTAGCAAAACTGCAAGTCGAGTGTACGAAACGACGGAAGAAGGGGTCATTGCTTGTTGGTGGGTCGATTTTTGAGCGACTTAAGTTTTTTGTAACTGAAGGGTCATCAATACATTTTTCATGACATAAAGAGTTAAAAGCACATATTAAGGTTACTATAATAAAAAAGGCGCGTGTAGCGCAGTGGTCGGAGGCAACCTGCAACACTCACATGGTATCGATCTCCGCTCCCAGGCTCACCAAGCCATCCATCCATTCTGGGACGGCAAATTGGTACCGCACTTGTCTGGGAGGATAGCCGTACTGGCTCGATACATCGGTAGGCAACGGCGAGTCATTGTCAGGGCCAGATATGCATTCAATCACCTACAAACGATGCCTAATGAAGTCGAATGCATGGCGCACCTATAGCAACTATTGCCAGAATAGTTACTATTCTTCCATCATATCGTAGGTAACCGTATTCGTGGTCTCTCACATCGCTTTGCGATCTTGCAGCATGTAAACGTTTTCACTTCGTTGAGAGAAACTTTGGTTGTCTTAAACTTCGTTTGTGATTCACACTCTTTATACAATTGGAAGCTCTTGTGTGTTGCATCTGTTCCAAACCATCACGGATACGGTAACACAAAAAGGCATAAAGCTGTCCGGCAAATCATCCTCAGTAATATCTGATCACGAGGGAACTGGACACGGAAGTTGATGGGTGTTTTCGGTAAAGGTTCTGGACCTATGCCAAAGCACCGCCTCCTCTAAAAGGTATTTAAATAGCCCCGTGCGTCAATACCGTATTCGCTCCCTGTTCATCATGTGTAATGCGCCTTGTAGTTAATCCAAGCTGTTCTCTCCTGTTGTATGTGGTTACTGTTGTATATTGTCTTTACTCTCATGCACCTCTGAACACGCTAACTCTATTGTGTGTTCACATTAACCTCATCGCAATGTTACAACAGGCTTACATGGCGCTCTTAACGTGTTAACCACATCAGAACCACGTCACAAGTCTGCGTATAGTGTGTAACTCTTTAGTATTGTTGTTTGTAAGTCAGGTATTAGGTCTTATATAAATCCCTTAATGCGCCTGGATCTTGTGACACTCTTAAGGTATTCTAAATGCACATGGCACTGTTTTACTGGCCTATAGCAAAGATACTAACCCGGATTACCCTCGTTTATTGATCATGATACAATATTGCAGTCTGTATTCTACCAATGTTTATATTTCGTTATTCTTGAATTATTATTGTTATAAATGGTTAAACTACCCAAGTTTGAGATATTGCTCTTCGACAAGCACGAAAAAGTCCCGCGTGGCAACTTCTACGAAGTCGAGTATCCTACTCAAAGCTAGTGATCATAAGGTGCCGAGAACTGACTCGAAGAGCTAATTTCCACTAGCAACTGCTATAGCATCCGTCAGGGATCGATTAACGCCGAGAGATTTAACTTTTATTTATTTTACTATAGTAAGGACAATTTTAAAAATAGTGCAATCAACTATACGCTTAACTTCTTAATAATACTCGGTAATCAGGATTTTAGATGACATTTTAGGTGAACACCATCAGGAAGAGTTGAACATCAATCCATTACCTAGTTTCCGATAAAGACCGGAATAATTTTTCTGCAATGCTTACTCTTTCGAGTGAAAGTTGCTGTTGAACGAAGTACTCCGCCAATCTGCCCTACATACACAGAAGTAGAGGTAGCCCGCTAAGGCGCTTCGTGGCAACCAGACCACGGTGTTGAACGCCGTCACGTACAAGGCGTAGTGTAAACAGAACAGTCTCGTTTGAATTCGTTGAAAAAGCACCCCAAATAAGTATATGAATTGTTTCATTTTCATCAAAAAGGACGAAATCTGGAGCCCCTAAACCAACAATGTCGATCTGAGGGAAACGAGAGCTCAATTTCATTAAAATAACATTTCTTTTCAAACATTCCTCGAGAGCAGTGGGTCTTGTCGGTATCGCTGCAATTCCATGAGTTGAAAGTCTCCTTGCATTGATTGAGCAATTTTTAACGTGGTGCAACTCCATCGTTAGAAGGTTATAGGTTATGAATCCTCTAAGGCTATATTGTGCTGAACCCTAGCTATATTAAACCTTTCAATTTCCCATATTAGACATTTCAGTTTTCGCAATTTTTTCCATTTTTTGTAGCTTATCTTTTTTTTAAAGATATTTCTTTCTTCTGTGATCTGATAAGGACTGGTGTACGTTCTGAGACAGTCGCCTTCACTTTTGGTGAGCAACACGAACTGAGGCGTGGAGAAGAGCAACGCCAACGTCCAAGCCGCACCGGCGTATAGAGCCGGCCGTTTGTAGGCATTTGATTTCATGGACACCAGAGGCCAACATATAGCCTGAAATGATCGCAGTTACCTTTGTCTCCTCTGTTAGCTCATTTATTGAGAATATGTTCAGGCCATCATCCCTCTTCTTAGGAAAGGATTTCGAAAGACGTGGTCGTTGCATTCGTGTTTATGTACTACAGTCTACATGATCATAAATTTTGTGGAAAAATCAATCAATATGATTTCTACGCTCACAATTTTTCCCGAGATTCCTAAAAAGAAAAAGACACTTCTTCCGATTTCGCAAACAATTTCTAAAGGTACCCGGAAACGATCGGCGCTGATAGCGATCAGCAGAAACGAACTGGCGTACATCGGAATCACCTGCAATAACGAGGGCTTTGTGAAAAACAACGTCAGATTGGTCTTACGCGGAATTTCTCCGATCTATCATTACTTGTAAAAAATTCGAGAAAAAAAGAATTTTAAACTTTAATTTTTTAAAACTAATTCCACTCGAATGAAATGTGTTTTAAAAATATCTACAAGGTTAATCGCGACTTCACTCTGCTACGAAAAGAACTTTAATACGGAAGCGATGTTCCCAAGACGGAAAAGGCCAGAACTAGAATGAAATTGTGTTTCAGCTGCATATTATATCAAATTGTTTCTGAGGCGTAAGAAAGTTTTCGAAACAATCAAAGTCACTAGAATCATGCTTTGAACGAAAAGATTCTCATACATTTAATACGGAAAATGTGTTTTGAAAAACAAAAAATTTCTTCAAGATTCCTGCGTAGAAGGTTTTGTGGAGCTCGAAAGTCTCTAGGTTATATTCTGATTTCGAAGTCTTCCAACGGGAAGAGACCTCCGTAAACATCTAATACCATATCACAACAATGGAAAAAGTATCTCATAAGAAGAACAGAAGATCAAGCAAAAGTTCACATGAGCAAAGAAAATACCAATGAATTACAGTGAAATGAATAACAAGCAGCTTAGAGCCTTGTCGCGATTTGAGAAACAAATACACGTCACCTGCAAGAACTTCATAAGCTTGCATAGCAAGTCAGGGCCATGGAACACAGGCACAGTGGCGTGGTCGCCATCGTCGGCACCATGGTGATCAACGCTAACAGCAGGTCGGCCGCGCTCATGTGCAGTATCAGCATTTGAAGCAGATATATTAGTCAGCATTAACATGGTCCAATGTGCACAAGACTGAAAATTATTTACTTATGATAAAAGTTATCTGTTCAAGTACTCTGAAGCGAACACTGAGAGAAGAATTAATGTCAAATGAGACAGGAACTAATATCTTCCTGCAAACTGGAGGCAATGTAAGCACCCCTTCTTTTAGTATTAAATCCTAAATCTATCGAAATGCATCTGTAGAGATTCGTTGTTACTGCAAATGTGTACCGAAGAAAAATTTCCGAAAAGGTCTCAAAAGAAGCTCTGAAGAAAGAAGAAGGAACTATGGTAAAAACAGTAGGCCAAAGAATATCTTCAAAAACATGGGAGTATCACCTATTCCTACAGCATTTATGCGCGACGGATCTGCGTTACAGAGGGGTCCTAAATTGTGTACACGCACGGCTACGAAGAGCTTTGAGACATGTTAAGCGTTAAACGCGAGCCGAACGCCATCTTTACACTCATGCTGAAAAACAGGTGGATTCGTCTTCTCTGCAAAACGCTGGTCGAGTTAGTTTTCTTTGGAGACATGGGAGAGGTCTCCAGAGCTTCACACAGGCAATCACCATTCTTCGTGGGTTGGAGGGAATCCTTCCTAAATAACACATTATCTATTTCAGACTGATGGAAAGCTCAGTTGGCCTGGTGCGGAGTGATATTACAGGCTAGCGCGTATTGAACGGCATTTCTACCATTGCGTTACCCTACGCTACCCCAAGGTGATAGTGTTTCGTTTACAACCACAGGTCTATTCTATACTAACTACAAAGCCGGTAAAAAGCGGGAAACAAGGGATTGAGATGTGCTTGAGAGATAATTAAGATTCGCTTTCAACTAATAAGCACCCTGCCTATTCAGAGTAAGCCCGAAAATTATCCATGAGTATACTCATCTCCTGTGTAAGATCTCGAGAATCCTTCCTCTAGTACTAATCACCAAAAACACGATGGAAATAAAAAATCTAGGTTAATCCCATAAGAGACAATCACGCGACGAAAGCGTTGAGTAAGCCTAACATGAAGAGGATGCTAAAATCTGAAAATCATTCTAAGCTGGTTAGATATATAGCGATTGCTATACGCACATTATAACGCTAGAGAATTATTATTTCTCGAAACGGGCAATATAAGAAGGGACAGAGTAGGTGGCTTGATGAGTATGAGCATCTTCATTAATGCCGATTCCTTTAAACAACGAACGACTAGGATTTGACGCATAGGGTTAGAATTTGGTCAACCATTTGACTCTTTGACGGTCTCCATCGCGTATGTCTCGCCATCAAACTGTTGCAAAGAGAAAAGCTTTTTAAACCCATTTGTAAAGGTTTCAATGAAGATTTTATACCTTCTTCAAGATCCTACAGGATCACCATCAACGACAGGATTACCTGGCTATAGGAAAAAGCGTAAGAGAATAATGTAGCCGCACTAGAAAAGTTAGAACAGTACTGCACTAAAAATCAATCGATAATCGTGGCAAAATTTTATTCCGCTCTTGTTTCTCTTAAAGGTTTCACCAAAATCTCACTACAAAGATAAAGGATAAAGAAGGTTAAAGCTCTTGGCGTTGATCAATCCCTGAGAGATGCGCCACGCATTCGACTTCATTAAGTATCGTCGGAGGTGATTAAATGCATATTTGGCTTTTACAATGGCTCGTGGTGGAACAATGGATTCCGACGATTAGTTTGTTCATGCAAAGTACAGTGAAATAACTTAATTACCTAGTGAAACGATGGTGTCTTGCAAAGCTGACGTAATTTCCTCAGATCCGTGATGGAGTATAGAACGGAACTTTATCACTTTATTAACCACAAGTACACGCGTATTACCTTGTTATAAAAATTATAATAGGCAGTAAATAAAAAGTTAACATTGCGATTTCGACAAAATAGAACTAGCTGAGAGAAAGGCGAAACGAAAGACCCACATGGTGTGGTGGTGAACGCGTTACTCCCCGGAAAGGACAATAGCGCGATCGTTCCCCACCGCAGACACCTGCGGTACAGAGTTTTGCAAATATCTCAGCAACATTGTGGTTCTTTAACCACAAGTAATTGCATGGGTGACAACAAATACTTATTGGAAACGTGGAAAGAAACAGAAAGCAAACGTACCCATTCAAAACCATTTAAAGTCTTATAGAAACTTTTTGTAGAAGTCGTATAAACGCAGAAGTATAAAGAAAATGTCAACGGAGTAGATTATTCTATACCACCAGATGCGTACGGTACCTTGCCCGACGTCAGAGAAATGGGAGCAATGCTGGTCAGGGGTATGAACTAAGTGAAAAAATGACCATATCGTACGCGCTGCTGCTACCAATGTGCTTCCGCGCCCTCGAGGTACATATGAGAAATATGCTGTAGAAAATACCGACTTCAAAGTTGCGAATAAGCTCTTGTACCGTCGTGCCAATTCGGCTATCTGACGACAACTTCAACAATCTGAACACAGGTAGGGCATGCCGCTGGATCCAGTGCAGATGAACATGAATAGCTCTATTACTGGAATGCAGTAAACCTTACATATTATTACTAAATGGTGTGTGGTGGTGTAGTGGTGAAGTGCGCTGCTCCCCGGTAAGGACAACAGCGCGTGTTCGTTCCCCACTGCATACACCTGTGGTCCGGAGTTTTGCAAATATCTCAGCATTTCATACGAGTTATATTTCACAACATACCCTGCCATTAAGAAGAAAAAGGCAGTAAATAAAAGAGTTAAGATTATTACTAAAATTCAATTCAAGAGAATGTCTCTATGCTAAACAGTAGCAAATGGGCACGTGTAGCACAATGGTTAGAGGCCCCATACAATGGGGTTAATCCCGTGCTCCAGGCTTACTAAGCCCTCCATCTCTTCGGAGTTGACAAATTGGTACTAGACCAATCTGGAGTGATAACAGTACTAAGTTGATGCGCTGGGAGGCCACTGAGAGTTATTTCATAGACCAGGCATGCATTCATTCACTTCTAACGATGAATGATGAAGTCGAATGCGTGGCGTAATATATCCCTCAGGAACTTATCAACCCAGAGGGGTTATCCTTTTATCCTTCTTATGCTAAACAGTACTCTAGTATTAGTTGTGAGCCATTTCTTACATTCGCAGCAGAAAAAAATGCTCCAAAAAATGTCGGTAGCTTTTAGTTAACTAGAGCGCTTAGGAAGATGAGAACTTAACTGACTTTCTAAAGACATTTTGTGGAGTGGCTGCAAAATACACAGTTATTTTCCAAAAATTAGCTCTGCCTCGAAACTATTTAGAGGCAAAGTTCAGCGGACATCACAATACGGCTTTTTTGGAATAATATTTCTATCGATTGCGTGACAACCCATGGAATCCCTCAACTGTTTAGTTGCCTTTTCCATCGAAATACGTTTCAACGAAAAAAAAACAAATCGGGGATTCCGGAAAATCGGAATTTTATCGTAGCGGAATAAAAAAACTTGCATCGAGTTGGTGAAGCTCAGTAGATTCTAGAGTTTTTCACTTCAACTAGTAAATTTCAGTAAGACCTAAGATATACTTGCCTAGAATTGAAAGTCGTGGAGAATTTTCCAGTATTTGTATTGGGTTCAATGCACGCCAGCGAGAATGGGTTTAAGGAAAGAGTAGCCCATCGTATTCAACATCAATTGTGTCCGCTAGGAAGACGTGACTCCTATAGACCTTTTAGTGCGCCATTCTTATGGTATCGATAGGTAGACAATAGATCCGTACGCACAAGGTAAAACGATAACCAGCCTATCTATGAAATATCTTTCACATTCGACGTAAGTTATAAGTAATTCTACTTTGCCAGTAACTGTACAGAGGATCACTAAACAACCCTAAAAGTGGATTTTTACATTCAACCCATATTAACTAGATTAGTTCAAAATCTTGTGTGGACAAAAGCACAACCAGTGTTTTTTTTCTCACGGTCTGTCTTCATATCTACCGTGCAGATCCCAACAATTCTTGCCTTCTTTTTCTTTCTTCGCATCCATCATCCACGAAGGTCTTTGAAATTTCTGAGTGTGGGTGGTGGTAGATGCTTGAGGACTGTCCTCGCATGAATGTCGTTGAATGATGGTCGAGTCGATTCTCTTTCGAGTCTCAGGATAGCCAGACTAAGGCAGCCCTACTCGGATTGCAAGAAGTGAATTGTTCCCAGAGTTTGATTCCGATTTCTTGGCCCCAGCAGGATGAAGGGCTTGATGGGCTTGAAACGGGGTCAGACAAATGCCGTGCTCTCGAAGAACGACGTCACTACCACTTTGCTACGCGCCTGATAACCAGTGAATTACAAACTCCGAAACTTATAACAGACCAACTTCGTGACTTTTCTGCTTTTCTGAGGAAGCACCAGATTACACTGGATAACTTGTTTTTATGGAATCGTTGCAATTCTTAGTAACGATAAACAAAAGAACAAATTCTGCAATACATGTGCAGAACTTCATGCATGATTCCTTTCGTGAACGGAATAATGAGACAGAAATGTGATGAATACGAAATGGAGAGTTTTGAATTTGAAGACCTCACTTTACATAAGCCTATAACGATAGACATTTTTACTGAAGTCGATAGCTGTATTGATGACATGGTGAATTGATGCTCTCAGCGTTAATCAATCACATAGAGATACGCCATTCATTCGACTTCTTGAAGCATCGTTAGAGGTGATTGAATGCATATCTGGCTTATACGATAACTTCCGGTAACCTACCGGTGTGTCGAACCAGTGCTGCTATCCTCCTAGACAGATCTGATACCAATTTCCCTACTCCGGAGTGATCGACGACTTAATGAACTTGGCGTGCGGTATCGAGCTCATGTATATCGGAGAGGACCTCTAACAACTGCGCTACATGCCCACGTAATGAAGACGAATAATAGAAACAACGATGGTCGGATAGATTTTGACATTTTGATAGAACATCATATATCACTCAACGTAACTCGAGCCTATCTGCAGGTAACACCTATTCTGGCCACCTCATGTCAGTTCATCTAATAGAC